ATTTTTCATTCAAGAATGTATTGGGTCTATTTCTCTAGGCTGTGAGAATTTATAGCTTAATGAATGAGCATTTGTCAATTTGACCCAAACAACTTAATAAATTGAAACAGGTACTTAGTAACTAATAGATTGTATGTAAAGGGACCCTCCAGTATGCATTTAAATTGTTTGGGTAAATGTTCATTCTGCCTGTGGGTACTGCAAATGTTTATTGATTACCTGAATGGAGCCTAGCATAGTGAGGGACGTATGAAAACGTCACTGTCTTATCCATATCCTTAGATGGCTTTGTCAGGCTCTTTTTCTTGAGTAAGGTAGCTTTTCTGCAAGAAAATATGAACTCATGTCCCAAGCATATTTTTGGGAGTTCTAAGTCAGCTGGTCCAAGGTTGGTTTATAAGTGCAAAACCATTGCCTGGTCAGTTAGGGTCCGATTTCTTCTGTTGCCTTGTTGACCAGCTGGGCGCTTTGGTTTCATCTCTTTTTTTCTTACTGATTCTTAGTCATTTTTCCAGGTTAAAAAAAAAGTCAGAGGAAACCTCTCCAGAACATAAAATGAATCCCTTTTGGTATTTACTTTTAAAGACAAAAATCTCTCAAAACACTAAATGAGAAATGTCAAGCTAGAGGGAATTCAGGGAGTCTAAGGGAACTTTTGAAAAAAAAAATGATGTAAGGAAGCTTATGATGATAGTGACCATTTGAGATATTCTGGTGTTCTCCAAATTCATGTGGTCGTTATTATTATTTTGCAAAATAAGACTTCACATATATTCACTTAAGAACTAGACGGGGGGGAAACCCAAATATTTCTCAAACTTTGTGTTTGATTTTGGTAAAGAACTAATGTTAACTTTCATTATAATAGTGTTAGGAAATAATCTTTTAAGATTTATGTTCGTTGTTGGCTAGGACTCACTGAAACACACACTCCAGAAAAGACATGCTTGTAGACAGACAGTCAAGGAAATGAGCATTGCAATCAGGGCTTACATTCTCTGGGGAGTGGAGAGGGTGAGATAGAATTTGGTGGGATGGAGTTGGCTGCCAACTGAGTGGTGAATGATTTTAACACAGAATGCAGGAAAAGTAAAAAGTTTTTGGTAAAAATTTCTTTTTTTAGGTAGACATTTATTTGTTTATCCCCTGTTCATTTTGAGGTTATAGACAGAATTAAGTACATTTAACTGTTCCTAAATAGCCACTTTTTTGTCTAGATTGCCAAATATGAAAGAGCTAAAATTCTCAGTGTTCTCTTTGCTTTTTGGAGTGGTGAAAAACCAGTCTTGTAATAGTGATGAATCCACGTTCTTGCTTCTGAGAATGACCATGAGGCAGCTTGGCATTTTGAGGAAGCTTATTCACAGTGGGAATATGGCATAATGGGCTATTGTCCCTGTTTTTGTTTTTTGTTTTTAACATGAGTTCCATTTGAATTTCTGTAAGTCACTTCTTTCTGTTTCATTAAGGATGAAAGTTTTTTACAGTGAATTTTGTTAGTGTTCTAGGAAATTGCATGTCATCACTAACCAGTATTTCAGAACCCCAAGTGGGAAGAAGTGAGATGAAGCTGTGTTTCCCTTACCTTGGTCATGGCAACACCTTTTAAAGAAATTACATATTGGTTACTTTAATAGGTATTTTATATGCAAAATCAAAATTGAAACTAAATTGCCCCATTGATTGAGAAAGAAAACCTTTTGTAGTCAATTCTATCTACAAAAATCATGCTTTCAATTTTTTTTAACACAACTACCAAACAACAGTATTTCAATAGAATTATCATTTTTAATGTTTAACCATCTTAAAATTTGCTTTTTAAACAGTATGGTAACCCTTTGGAACTAATGAGGAGGGGAAAATAAATGTTAGGGTAGGTAGCTGTTGGCATAGCCAGATAGGTCTGAGAATTTATTTTCTTTAAAGAAATCTATGAGATGTTGGAGAGTCCTCTCTTTACAGATGGGGAAAGTAAGTCCTTGCCTAAAGTTGCATAGTTAGACTCCCATGTTTCAGCACTTAATTATTTTTCTTAAAATGAAACTGTTGGATGGAAACTGATTTTAAAGGAAGTGAGCAGGTCAGTCCAGGTCCCGTCCCCCTGGCCAAGTAGCATTCAAAAGCATTTAAATTTGAGCACCACTGGGCAGTTTTCACTCTTCTTAGGGAATTTGTAACTCAGGATGCTCTCAGCTCAAAATAGTTTGCATTCGGAAGCTCTTTACAATCTTTGTGCAGGGGGCTGTTGCTGGGTTAAGGAATGCTGGTGATGAAAACATTTCCCCAGCAGTTTGTGTGTTTGTGTGGCTGCTGCTCAGCCTTCTCTCTGGAGCCACTGTGCTTTAGGTTCATGTTTTGAAAGTTTTTTTAATAGCACATAATCCCCTTTCCCACCAGGATTAGTCCAAAGACTCTTTTTCCTGATTCTGACTGAGATTGGCAGCTTTAAACCTTAGAGTGATGGACGTGATTAGACAAAAGTAGTTTTAAAATGAGGTGTAGATGTAGTGCTCCCCAGATGTTGCTGGTTCTGCATCATGTAAACTTGGCCTCAGTTTTCCCTTTTTAATGAAACAGTGAAAATGTAGAAATGCTTTGAAGGCACAGGTATTTTGCACTCTTGGAATGTGAACTAGGTTCTAAGAGAGGCTGAATGTGTTCCCGTGTCATCCCTCTTGGCTATCTTTAGGTATTCTGTCTTCTTAGGGACTGTACAGTGTCATTGTGTCCATGTATAGTCCATTTTACTTCTCAGTTATGAGGTCTTTGCCATTTGATTCATAGCTATAAAATAATTAATGGGGGAATTCCCTAAGAAAGAATTTTTAAAGGTTATCTTTTTTTCTTTTTAATCACTAGTTCGTGGGTCTTTTTTTCCACTCAAGTGGCCACGATCCATTTCTTAGGAAGTTCTGAGTAACACATTCTTAAAGCACAGAACACATTTTATGAACTGTGTTGTTACTTTCTCGGAGAAGGTTTCTTTGGAGAAATTCTCCCTTTCCCCGACCTTGTGAATTTTGTTTTTTGATCAGGTAGTGCAGAAAAATTCTAACAATAAATATTGGTGCCTTGCTGGCTGCCTCCTTAGCTCCCATCCTCGAGAATCTTTCTGTTGCTTTTAGAAGGGTGCAGTGTAGAAGGGGTGACAAGGAATATGCAGAACCTGCAGTGAGTCAGACTTGCTCCCCCAGCTGTTAGAACCTGTGGGATCCAGGGAGTGCAGTTGTTTGGTGGGGCTGGGATGAGGAGACTCTTCCGAGGAGTGGAGCAGGATCTGTGTGAGGAAAAGGCTGAGACCAGATCTTGGATCTGTCTGGTCAGTCTTTGATGTTTCAATAAGTAACAGTGGAGAGCTCAGCAGTGTTACATGAGGAAAGGAGCTGTCAGTTTGTCAGTACTCTGCACACCTGCAGGCCTTGGAGCTTGTTGGGTTAGGAGAGAAAGTGGAAGACAAGAAAGTAGTTAGGGAATGATTGCTGTTGTTTTGGTGAGAGGCTGTGGAGATCTGAAATTGGATGGGAAGAACCACTGCAGAGGTGAAATCACTGCGCTGTCTCTGGGGGACCCCTGCATCTGTGGGGCTGGGAGGGGCCGGCCGGCTTCTGTCCAGGGAAGGGTAGTCTCAGCAGAACACTAGGTCTGGCAGGGAGAAAGGGGGTTTGGGTATTGCCTCACTATGTTTTCAGTGCTACCTTATTTGATACAGCATAAGTTGCTGTTTATTTTATTCCTTTTCATTTACATACTAATATTCCTCAGTGCTTCAGCAGTCATAACTAGGACATTGTGAGTATGATTTTGTGAGCATTTAAGGAGCTCTAATTTTTAATAACATTGATGGAAATACCGATTTTCCTATTAAAAAATAGCAATTTCCCTTTTATTCACCTAACTACTTTCATAATATCAATGAGATTAAAAAAATACACTTGATCATGACATTGCAACTTTTTTTTTAATAGTGGCATGTTTTTCTTAACTAGAAGGTGATTTTAATATAGAGTTGAAACTGGATTTTAATTTACAAATTAAATGAGGACCAACTTTTCGTTTTCAGTCAATAAGATCCTGGAGAGCTGGTGTTCCTTTGGAAAGCTAGTGGTTTAAAGTAGAACATAAGCAATTAACATCTTGGGAGAAGCTGTACGTGAAATGTTGAGAATTTTTTTGGTTAGAAAAAGGATTATCAAAAGATTATGTTAAGTAATATAAAGCATTTTATGGAGACAATAAGACCAGCCTTTTGGTGTTCTTTTATATCAGGAGATGGAATTGTAGGAAAATCAGCCCTGTGCACTGTGGCAGGAGGGTTAGCAGGTCACTAGTGACTGGGATTTGTGTGGGAAGGGTAAGATTACGAGTAGCACCGGGCTTCCAGACATACTGATATCACATGGGTTAGAGCTGGTGACACCTGGAGACTGGGAGTAGAATAACAAGGTGACGCTGGGTCCAAAGTCCTGCATTGCAGGTCCTCAAAGCACTGATGACAGTGTTTGGGAAGTGGTATGAGGTGGACTGGGGAGGAGATGTTAACTATGACCATGAGCAAATTCTTAGAATTATACAATGGGCACCTTCAAAAAGTAACAAGTAGCCTTATAAGCTTTATCAGAGAATACTTTTCATATATTGTGTTGCTGAGGTCATTGTTGAGATGGTTAGATGTTTGATGGATGTTGTTGAGGTGCTGTTTTTATAATGTCCCATTTCCATGCTGATACCCCAACTTCTGTTGGAGGTCGGGGAGATGGGAATAGAGTAGCTTCTCATATGTCCTGTCAACTCTGAAGTGGCTTGGAGAGCACTTGGGCAGCAGGGAACATTTTCCAGGGCCTCTGCAGATAAAGCTATAGTGCAGGTCCTCAAGTGCTCAACATGCTCAGTGAGCACTTTGCACTTGAGCAATAAGCCATATAAACTCAGGCGTATGTGGTGGCAAAGAAGGCAATGTAAACATGGTTGTAAGAAAATAGGGAAAACTGAGGATGATAATGAGCTGAGAACTTATGCCTCATCAAGAGGCCAGTAGGCCTTTAACTCCAGCCAGTTGTTTCCCCGTGTTGCCAAGATATATAAAGTCACAAAAGTTTTAATTGCTGGGGCAGCAATAAAAAGAAAATACATCTGTGGAGAGAATATGATACGTCAACAGCTGCTCTGTAACATGTGGACTGCAGAAGTCTAGTAGAAAGGTATTCAAGAGGGGCTCTTGATAACTAATAACTCCATTAATAGGAGTCCTCATTTTAATTGAATCATGGTTCCGTTTTGATGCATAATGATTCAACTACCTATACAAAAATACTCTAAGGTGTTTTTATAAAGGAAACATTTGAGATAAAAGGAATCAAGAAACACAGGGATCATAATCATTAAAAAAATTACACATGAAACCTGCCCACTGAGATGTTTGAATTTTTCAAGGCTTTTTTATAAAATGTTATCATCATTGTTGCTTATTTATAGGTTATCTCCACAACCTCCCTATTTCCCAACAGTAAAAGCAAAACTTCTCTTTTGGGAAATTGACTTTTCCCCCACTCTTGACCACATACTATAATGGAGCCCACTCTGTCTCCAAAATCAGGGTGAGGCCATAAATGACAGTCAACATGCTTCTTATTCCCTGGCCACACGTTGGGGTGGAACATGACCCAGAATGACCCAGTGAGAGCAAGCCCTAGATATCTGGAGAAATTCTCTGGTGGGCAGGCTGTGGAGATGTAAAGTCTACAAGTGCATTTCATTTCACTACCACAGTAGAAGAGCCTACAGCCTCCTGTGAGTTGAAACTAACACCATGGAAGGTGGCTGGAGACATGGTACAAATCCAGCCCTGGTTACATCAGCTGAGGCCCTGCATTAGTCTGTAACTAAAGCCATACCCACAACTTTGGACATTCAGGTTTGTTAGCCAATAAATCTTGTTCATTGCATAAGACCAGTTTCAGTTGTATTTTTTTTTACAAATGAGAAGATCTGGATACATTAGCTTCACCTAAAAGATTAATTTATAAAATCTAGAAAACACTCTTGCACTGTTTTGCTTCTACTTTCTGATGTTAGAAATGTATATGCTATTAGTGTTCTCTGTCTTTAAAACCCTACTGCTGCAACCTGTATCTTTTAACTCTGAAGAAAAAGAGGAAAAAAGAGTATCTTTATTAATACAGAAAATATCTGTAATATCAAGAGATAATGTCATACAAATGAAAACATATCTTCCCCCGAAAAAGACTTGGAGTTTCCTTTTGGGCAAAATGCACTGTGGAGGAACCGGTGCTGCCGTGGTCTTCAACAGTAAAGTCACTGTGACCTTTTGCTCACCTATTCTCTGCACCATACCGTTGACATGTGCATTACCATTTCATGACAGGACATCCCCCATAAAGAACCACTGTAAAAAAACATAGCTTTCCTTTCCCATATGCCACTTTTAAAAATATTCTAAACATTTCATAGCATTGCTTGTAGAAAATGATTAAATGTTGTATTACTTTACTTGTAGCAAATACATATTTACAAGCTTTATTTAAAACTAGCCACAGAAAAGAAACAAATTATTCCGGAAAATAATTGAAAAAAAAGTCACTGGTGATCTCAGAAGTATTTCTGGGTTATTAATCCATTGTTCCATTGCTCAACTGCTTCATTTTTTGTTGTAGCCCTGGACCTTAAAATTCTCATGTGCAGTAACCTGTTACCCAACTCTTGCTTAGTACCCTTAACTGCATTGCATACCGTTTCCTGCAAGATTTTACCTTTCTCATTTCTGATCTGCTTTAGCACAACAGTTACAATTAACAAAAGAAACAGAAGCTGTGTGCTGCTTATCTTTTTTACTTACATTGTCTCCCATGGCCCAGAAGGGGTCATGGAAGACACCAGTGTTCAGTAACTTGTCCTGGCCAATGGAAATTGTGAAGAATAAACACAGCCAGTTTCTTCTGCAGATTTATGTAGCCAAATACATAAAGCAAGCTTAGTTTTGCTCAGCATGTTTATCACAGGTTGCTGGTTTTGCTCTTCCTGAGAGTTGGGATAGGGAGCTTTTATAAGGGTAGAAAGTAGACAGAGTGTGAAAATCTCCCCAGCTCTTCCTTAATTTAAGGTGTTTTTCTGAATTTTCTACCTAAAATCTAATGAGGTCCTATAGCATATGAAAAATTTTGAAAACTCTGTGGCAAATAGAATTTCTGAATTCTCTATATAACTGTCTTCCTTCCATTAGCATGAGTAACTGATCATATTAAAGAAACCACTCATGTCTTCACTATGAGGAAATCTGGTAATGTTTTTTCATATCTTGATTATTAAGAAAAAACATTAAAAAATAATTCCTTTATTCATACATATATAAGAAAGCATGACATATATAAACTTACAAACCTGTTTAAGAACATTTGAAAGATGGCCTGAATGTCTTGTAGCCAGTTAATCACTGAGAAAGAATTTAGTTTTGATGAATGTTGAGCCAGCAACCGTGTCCCATATCTGTGAATATTCTATTTTTTCAGAAAATGTGATATGTACATTTTCATTTTATGTGTAATTTCTTGTAAATTTTAGATTTTCTTATCAATTCTGTTTTTATCTAAACTGCTTTCCCCACCTCTGGAGACTAATGTGTATTGCCAGCATGGAGGAATGTGTGTATGTGTGTATCTTTTTCCCAGTCACCCTATTGTTTGGTTCCCATTGGACAGGGGGAAGTTGTTGGCAACACATGCCAGTATCTAACTTCCTTCAGTAGAGGCCACTTAAAAATATCGACACTAGAACCTCAGGCTCATTAATTGGCTTAACAAGTCTTCATATAACACATTCTGAAATATATACTGTATTAGCCTTAAAATGGTGTCAGAAAAAAATACAATTTTTATTGCAAAATTCATATCTGCTTTTCTTTGAAATGACATGGGATTAATCAGCAGGGGATTTCTTGAGTGATTTGTGTGTGTATATGTCTGCTTATCCTATTTTTTCAAATCTGAGAAAAAGTGACTGTTCTACAAACAAACCTTTCTGTATCAAACTGTGTCTGCTTTTAAGTTGGTCTTTAATGACCCTGTTGAAAAAAAAAATCATGTAACTTACTACTTGTGTTTAGAGAAGGAAGACGCCCCTGTTAATTTGTCTTGATTGCTTCCTATTTTATTTGCTATTTAAAGTTCTACATTAACTGACCAGACTCATGATTATAAATGTAAACCTTCTGTTTTGGTGGAGTAAAACTGAACAATGTATGTCATGTTTTTTCTTAGATGTTGAAAAATAACATGGGAACATATTTCAGTTTTATTATTGTACTAAATTAGTAATGCCTAGCGATGATACTTATTATTATGGACCTGTTTTTTATTTATTATTATGTACTTGAAGATTATAATATGTATACACAGACTTTATTTGAAAGAAGTAGGAATTCAGAAAGTATCTGTGCTTTCTTGCATTGCATTTCCCCTTTTGACTTTGGAACTTTCTGAATCATGCTGGGCTTTTAATGGAATGTGCAATTTCTTACATAAGATTTCTCTGAATGGCTGGCATAGGAAGAAATAAATAATAGGGTCCAGGCATACGTTGGCAGCTGAGAGTAGCAGAGTGAATTCTTTTGCATAGAACAAGGTTTCTTTTGACTGGCAGTTGTAGCGAGGTCCCATCTGGCTATGTGTGTAGGGGATTCTGGTGACGTGGTAAGGTACAAAACAGACAATGAAGACAAACATGATGCTAAATATATTGCGGCTAGATTTCTTCTTGACAGAAATGGAATTCTTTCTGGACCTAAGATGGGACTTGAAGATTTTCTTCGTGATAGCAGTGTAGAACATGATTAACAAAAGAAACACAATCCAGAAAATGCCCACGAAAATGTAGTTTGATACTTCGTGCCACTTCCGTCCCAGTTCGTTTTTAAGATCCATACATTGTATCGGCGTCCCCTTCCCAGCACTCTGGTTGGTCAGGATGATATTGGGCAGAGCGAGGAGGAGCATGAACACCCACACCACCATCGAAAGGAGTTTGCTGTACGTCACTGACTGAACGAAGGAAGTCAGAAGAGGCCTCACGATTTTATAGTACCTGTCAAAGCCGATGAGCCCGAAGAATACGATGCTGACGTACATGTTGACGTAGAAGAGCACGGCAGAGACCCGGCACACGAACACCCTCAGCTGCCAGGGGCCCAGGCCCGAGTCGCCCAGAATCTTGAAAGGAAAAGTCAGGCTCATCAGGAAGTCAGCAGCAACAATGCTCTTGAGATAGATGATGAAACTCTTGGAGCTGGGCACGTAAAAGAATATCCATCCCGACACGCCGTTGAGCAGGATCCCGGCGATGAAGACCAGGAAGTACAGCACGGGAACGATTCTCTGAGTTATGAGGGTGTTCCGGAAGCAGGGCTCCGCCGGGGGCGCCGTGGTGGTGGCGTTCATCGCGAGGCTTCCAGAGGTGGTGCCTGCAGCGCAGTGGGCGGAGGCCACTCAGCTCGGGAAGCCTCCGCGTAATGCACGCAGGTCCGTGAATATCGTCAGCCCACCGTGTCCTGAAAATGGGGTATTTATCAGTTTCACTATGAATCAGTCAGGCACTCCTTTCTCCCTTCCTCCCTGTCTTCCTTCCTTTCAAAAGGGGAAGAGCAGACAGATGACAGGAAAGAAAAAAAACAGAAGCAAGGCAGTCTGAGAGTTGTAGTAATAATGGAGACAAGCATTTTCCCTAAAATGATGTTTCCTTTAAAATCCAAAGTTCTAGGAAATACTCATTTAAATATCTCAAAGGTTAAAAAAAAAACTCAGAATCATATTTTATTCAGACCTCTGCCTAATAAATTTAAGAGCTGTTGGTGTACACTATACTTGTTAAAACCTCTATGTATATTTTGGACATAGACTGTCTTACAAGCATACACATCCAGATGTAACTGGCATTTTTGGTTGTGATTGTGGGTACCTTTCAAAATTGAGCTCCTCTATGTTTTTCTTTCCCTTTTAAAGCTGATTTGCATTATTTTTATAAACTAGAGAAACACAAATGATAAAAATTCTTTTAAAGATTCTATGAAATGCAAAGTACATTCTAGATCGGCACTGTCCAATGTGGCTAACCAGTAACCATAGGGGGTCTAGAGGTTTTGAAATGTGGCCAGTCCAGATTGAGATATAAGTGTAAAATGTACACTGAATTTTCTAAACTTTGTTTGAAAGAAGATAATAAATATCTCAGTATTTTAAGTAAATGATTTCATGTTGAATTATTATTTAGAATAATATTTACTTATTCCATTAAGTAAAGTATAATAATCTAATTTCACTTAATTGTACTTTTTATGAATATGTCCACTAGGAAATTTAAAATTACATATGTGGATTACATCATATTTTTATTGAACAATGCTGTTCAATAAAACAGTTGTTACCTAGACCTTTCCTTTCTTAAGGAATCCTGTATATTCTTCACTGATGTCAGATATATTGATTTAGAGGGCAGGAAAGATTGGAACTTCTTTGAAAGATCATTGATAACATCAAAGTAAATTATTGCCCATCTTATATGTAATATCAACATCATAGTTGAAAAAAATCTTTAGTAGTTGGTCCTTGCCCTCAGGATAAAGTCCTAAATCTTTAATGCTGAGTTACCAAAAGTCCCTTCTTGGTCTAATCCCTACTTCTCCACTCACAGCAGTAAATTACTTCCATCACAAGCCCTTCTACCTCCTTAGAGGTTCCATGACTTCTCTTACCTTGGAACTTTGCACACGTCTCGTTTGTGCAGAAAACTCTTTGACTGCCTTCTTGGCTGGCTAACTTTTCTTCATCCCTGAGGCTCAGCTGGGGTGTCACTTCCTGTAGGACACTCTGCCCTCCTGAGCCTGGGTCGGAGTGGACTGAGTGGGAAGTGCTATATGTGTGTGCTCATAGAGCGGCATCTCTCTCCTATTACAACACTCATCTTCCTGGCTGTTTTTTGTTTCTTCCACTACTGTAGCTTCCTCCAGAGGAGAGAGACCGTGTCGTCTTTTATCTCTGCACTCCTAACATTATATTTAGGACATTAGATAGTTAAAATATTTGTGAAATAAATGAATATGCAATTTGGAAATACAAGACACGAATACCCGCTCTTAAGAAGCGTACATCTAGTCCAGGATCATGGGAAAGAAGGATTGTGGAGGATAGGGGGATTCCTTGAGGTCAGAGATTCTTTCTTGTTCACCTTTTTGTTTTTCGTTTGTGGTGGCAAGCATGGTGCTTTGTACACGAGTAAAGGGCTATGCCAGTAAAATTAAGGAAGACTGAGAAAGTAGAATTTAGAAATGAGAAATAATGAAATTTCATTCCAAATTTTAAAAAACGTGCAAACTTTGTACACTACTTCCCACATAAGAATGTCTTCTGTGTATTCTTCCTTCATGCCTACCACATGGCAAAACTAGATATATTTCTAGTCACTTGATTTTGTCAGTCCCTGGACTCCATTTGGAAGGAAATCTTTACCCCCTGCACATTTAGCTCTGATCATACTGGGTTTGTGTCCTTTGCTTCTATATAGGTCTTCTGTGGCCTGTTTCATATTTGAGATGGTAAGCGAAGGGGCCCTATTTTCTATTTTTAACTGTCCACTATGACAAAGAGTCTGTGTCTTAGCAGATGATTTATCTTGTCCCCTGATAGTAAGGTATAGTAGCAAGTAGGAGACAGATCAGGGGCTTGGCAGAATATATCTTGCCGTATGCTCCTAGGGTTGCCAGTGCTGGGGACACAGCCCCCTCAGTCAGAGGGGTGTGGTGCTCATGGTAGGCACTCAGTATTTGTTAAATTCATTGCAGTCTATGGTTTTAAAAAATACAGGTACTGATACATTTTGAAATAGGAATATTTATAATATATACTTATAGAGTGAAATAGTGAAGCTTCCCAGAAATGATTTAACACGGCAGTTCCTTTCCTTATAGAAATCTATGCAAAGACGTTTTCTCAGAGTCTTGTGACCTAAATACTTTTGAGCTGCAGCGTGTCTGCATGTAGCCTGATGCCCAGGCCCTGTTCTCAGATTCCTGATAGTGTTGAGGGTCTGAGCGTGTGTGCTTCATGATGTACACATGGCCTCCCCACCTCACTTTCAGGTTAGTGGGAGGGGCTGACTGAGCCAGGTAAACTTCAGGAGCATGTGAGCCTTCTGAAATAGAATGAACACTCCAGGCTTGCCTGGATCTTTCCCCGCCGAACATCATCTTGCTATTTTGGCCCATTTTTAAGCAGTTGCAGACAAGAGCCCCCATTTTAGAATGGAAAGGTTTGAGAAATGCCAGCTGAGGGAAGAAGTAGGATGTCACTGTCACCTGCACTGTTGTGTGGCCAGATACAGCAGTGGCAAATGAAAAGGGCACTCCATGATTAACTAGCTAAAGGGAAGTCTAAGGCAATTCTGGTTGCAATTTTCAAACTCTGAAATACTGTTTCTTTAGCAGTGGTGGTGGTAGGGCACTGTGTCCTCTTGGTACACATTTTACTGAATTTGGTGTCTCAGCGCATGTAGTTTCTCAATGACAAACTGAGAGACGTGTGAAAAAAGACATATTTTATGGCATCTGTAAGTGCAGCCAGTTATATATTGAGACCAAAAGGCAGGAATATGTGTTGAGTGAAAAATAGGACAAGATCATTACGGAGACATGTATCACTTTGACCTTGTAACATCAGCTCAGTCTGCTCCCCTTATCTCTAGATTTAATGTCCTGGTAAAGGGACTTACAGAAACTTAAAAACATTTCATGAGTGGAGGAAATATTCACATACTGATGCTGATTTTATACAGTAGCATAAAAATAAAACTAAGTCACTCAGAAAACTAAGAATGTCTTGGTGTGGCCCAATTGCCCTCTCCTTCATGCTCCAGGCTCAGCTGAGTCACCATGTCTAAGCACCTTGTCCCAGCACATTAAAGATGGGAGACAGACAAAGCAGGGACGAAAAAGCGGAAAAGGACCTCTGGATGATGATCACCTGAAAAAGTGGGATTCGTGGAGGTGTAGTCAGCCCTGCCCATGGTAGTTACTTCTGAGATTACCTCTGAATTTCTGTAGTGAAAGTTGTCGTTATGTTTCCCTAGAGGCTTCAGGAACATAAACAATGCTCCCTAATTCTTGATGCTGCATTTAAGAAAGATTTCTGTATGTGGTAAAACTTTTTAAAAAGGGATCTTTCAGAGTAGAAGTTTTCAGCTTCTCTTAGGTGGAGCTCTTCCTTGATCCACAATTCCAGGTAAAGGAGAAGGAAATGGTGTGAAATGTTTTAGTCTATCTATACTGCTCGCTTTGGATCTTTGGTAACATAATTAAAACACGGTAGCATGGGATTTATGAGACCAAAAGACTGCTATTAAAGTGTATTAGCATGTAATGAATTGCTTTCTCTAAGTTTTTTTTTTTTTTGCACAGTTAGAATATGAATGTCAAAGACTCCTTCCAGTCTAGATAGTGCCCCTGTCCCTTAGTGTGACGTAAGATTTAGGATTGTGTTGCTTTTTAAGTGTTTTCAATGTGTAGAGAATTATGTATAACCTCAGGTTCTCTGGGCAGAATTTAGTTGATACAGGGCCATACAAAGCCTTGCTCATTCCATAAATACATTCATCTTACTAAAAACATGCTTAGTCAGCCTGAGCTCATTACTCATCTTCTGTGTAATTATGCACAGAGACCTATTTTTCTCTTACATGTGGACCCCCTTCCACTATTCTAATTGGGTGCCATAATTCTATTTTCTCTGAAGAGAAATTATTCCTTCATCAATTTTGATGAAATTAACAAAGCTCTTGATAACACTGGAGGGTTTTATCAATTACCTTAAAATTTTTTTTTCGATAATACGAAGTTCTTTTCAATCAAGTAATGTAGTCCAGTGAGTGCTTGTCATCTTGAAGTGGCCAAAGTGTTTTTTCACTAATGATCCTGTATCATAAGAGAAAAATGAATTAATGAAGTTACATGAAGACCAGAATGTTTTTGTTGGGGAAGTATGTATGGTAACAATGTACTTGAATTTTAAATTCAGCTTATATAACTGAAATATTTCAACATGTGCATTTGTTGTTTTGATATACTTGGTCTTCAACATTGATGAATGCTGGTTTGGTGTGAGCTCTTGGGGGAAACTTGTAAACTCTTTACTTGAGAGTGTTGGACTTGAAGTGCTTTTAGTTATTGTTTTTATTCCCCTCATGGATATAGAAGCTCATGTCAGTTCATTAAAATACTGAAGCTAACAACTGATCATTTAAGCCAGCAAATCATAGACAGGGTTTTTTTTTTCTTAAAAACCTTCACACTGCTGATATTTGGGGCCAAATGATTAGCTGTTGTAGAGGACTGTCTTTTGCACTGTAGAATGTTTAGCATCATCCCCAGCTTCTACTGACCAAATGCCAGCAGCACCATCTCCCAAGTTCAGATAAAAATGTTTCCAGACATTGTTACCATATGTCCTCTGGGAGGTCACCTCACCCCTGGTTGGTAACCCCTGATCTAAGGAAACCGATGCATGGACCCTGTAGAGAGAACTGAAAACCTTGTGATCTGATGAGCGGAGGATTAGTTGGGCAGAAGGGTGGTTGGATTTGGTTATGTGATGGTCTATGTTCTTCCCAGACTTTAGTGTGCCTACACATTACCTGGGGATTTGGCTAAAATGAACACTCAAATCCCATAGGGTGGGCGTGATATTGATGCTTTTAGTGCAGCAACCCTCTTGGAGTAGCAAGTTTATTTTTCCAGACCTCTACTCGGGACATTTAATAAGTATTTGGTGTAGAGGGTAAAAAACTTGTTTTGCTTTGCTGTATTTGGGACTCCAGATTGGAAAAAGTTACATTTTAGGTAGCCCGGAAATGTAGGATCTTTCTTAGGGTTTCTTCATTACAGATTTCATCATCATTCATTCATGTGGTCTCCTGGAAATGTTAACAGGTATTTTATAGAAAGCTATTTGAGAACAAGTGATGAAGAACACCTTAAATTTACCTAGCATATTCCTACAGTCATGAAGTTCTCTTTAGAAATAGAACAGAGAGATGAAGTTCTTTGTGGACTAATGTTGTATGTGATCCAGGACAGCACAAAACATGTCCTGGTTGGGAATGATAATCCTAACCGCAAGGCAGCACTTAAGTCCTAGGGAGGGAAGGAATAGCAAGGGATGGTGTAGAGTGGTTGGCTTTCAGCTGTGTTGGGGGGATCTCATCTTTTAAATTCTGAAACAACTACATGAAAATGCTACATCAGTATTGGTCAATTGGGTGCATTGGTATTACCAGTGTTAGTTTCTATATTTTTATTGTGTACTGAAATATTTCATAATTAGAACAAAAGTGTATATGGGAAGTAAATTGCTTTTAAGTCACTTTTTTTTATCAGTACTCACTTCTGATGAGCATTTTCCTTCCTGTTCTTTGTTCAATTCTTGTAAAGTAATAATCTGATATTTCCTCTTCCCTCCTTCCAGTCCAAACATCAAAAACTTTAATCCAAGGTCCTTCATATCTTTTTATGTGAGATAATTATTTGTTTTCTAGATAAATATTTGTTTATCAGATTCTCAAAGTGGATATCTAACCCTCTTCTGCTCTCCCCATAGTTTCTGGCCTATGTTCTCTCTGGGCTCAGCCAGTGGGAATCTCACTTTCTCCTTTACTGGAGAAATGTTTGTCATACTCCACACTTCTTGTAGGTTGCTAGGACCTTGTTTCTAAGTTTATTATGCATTTCTCAGTTGCCTTATTTCCTGACCTTCTGCAGCACTGGGTGGTATTGATTTCTCCTGATTAAAATTTTGTGTCTTAAGGGCCAATATGTTCTTGACTCCTGACTGTGCCTCATCTTTCCTCCTTTGCTGAGACCTTTTATTCATTTGCTCACTAAATGCATCAGAAAGTGTTTGCCAGGCATGCTGGAGATAACATCAGCCACAGGGACTCTCAGGAAGGTCCCAGTTTAGAGGGAAGCCAGAGTGGTGCTTCTGGGTGTAACATGAGGCTCTCATTGAAGGAGGAGGCATAGAAACAGAGTGAGCACCAAGCACCCATCAGCTTCAGAAATGGAGGTATCAAGGCAACCCTCCTGGATCATGAATTGGCTTTAGCCACTCAAAGAAGAGGTAGGGGGGTTTGGGAGTTTTGGGCAGAGAGAGCTACTAGGCACATGCACCAAGACACATGAGATGACAGTGAGCCCAGGGCATGTGGATTGCCCAAGCTTTTGGGTAACATGATTGATCCTTGCCAGGGAATTACTATTACCACCATTTTGCAAATGAGGAAACTGATGCTTAAAATGGTTAAGTAACTCATGGAAGGTGAATTGGGTAGCTAACATGTGACCAGACAGTATTCAAATGTAAGTCTGTTCAGCTCCAACTGGTTCTCCCCTCCCTCTGAGGGAATGTAGGGCAGCATGTCTTGTGTGTGTTTGTGAGAGTGAGCAAATACGCAGGCCCTTCAGCGTTTTCTGGAGTTCTGGCTTCAGGAGTCACTTAGCCAGTACTTTGTTGATGGAAGGTGCACACATGTGTGTGAGTTTGTGTCTGTGTCCTGTTTTGGATCTAGGTTTTAAAAGTCTGCAAGGCCTAGATGTCTTCAGTTTCTCTAGTTAGTTTCCAGATACCACAGCATAGAGAACCTCCATTTTATTTGCCAGTTTCTGAAAGTATGTAAAAATGGACATGTTTCTGACTTTTGATTTTGACTCAGCTTTCTATCTTCTACACTGATGTCCAGGAACTCTTCACAATGATGATTAAAGCAAATGATATCAATCAGCAGGTGGTGGACACCCTGTTGCTGGAGAAACCTAGCTCTGCTATGTGTGGTTTTGAAGCCACTCATGGGTTCCCCAGGGTCCCTGGCATGAGGAGGGCTCTGCTTGTTGCTGCATCTTATCTTCAGCCAGTTTTTCTTACAGTTGACATGAGCTCCTGATTCGGTCTGACTTGATCCTCCTAACTCTTGTCCACTATGGCCCATTGATTTCAGATAAAATGTAGGATAATGTCAAGTATGCTTAGTTTAATTTATAGTTGGTTGAATACCATGGTCACATATTTGAATTGATGAACTGTGCTAATTAATTCTCTCATATTAGAAATATCAACATCCTCCTCTTAGGCTGACTTGCAGACATCTAACTTCCTCTTCCACCAAAGCATAAGCTCAGCTTGGTCTTGATTGCCAGGCTTTCTTCCTGGACCCTCCAATCCACAGACTTTAAAACTCACAAAGATGAAAAATCTGTGAATGTCTGCTACGGAGCAAAACATCCATAATGTGTGGTCATGGGCCTTGAGTTAGGGTGGATAATAAACGGATCATGCCAAACCCAGTCTTTTCTTTTAATTCCAGCCTCTCCCCTTACATTGCTTTGAGCAGGACTCATAGTGGAATGCAGGACTGGCACCCGGGCTCTGGTGGGGTCTTCACGGCTGTGCTCTGGCCAGCGGGTCGCAGGAGCTGCTGGAGGAGATGAGCTGTGGCATAGGTGCCCAACTTTTGGGGCCATGAAAATGGCCACCCATCCCTGTCCTTTGTACCAGGAACTGCATATGCGTTGTCAGGACGGATTTGTGGGGATTTTCTCCTATAGTCTGTGGTATAGCCCAGAGTTTCTCACCCTTGGCACGTTGACATTCCAGTTCTCTGTGGGTGAGCTATCCTGTGTATTGTAAGATGTGTAGTGTATCCCTTGCCTCTATCCACTAGGTGCCAGTGACACCCCATGGTTTATGACAATCAAAACTGTCTCTGGATACTTCTCAATGTTCCCAGTTGAGAACTACTGGAATAGCCCTTTAATGGTAGGTGCATTTAATACCATTTTGATATCAGAAGAACTCCTCTTGGAGCTAAACCTTAGCCTAATATTGAATAACTCATCAGCAATACGTAATTCATAAGCATAGATCTCAAAATGCAAAGTTTTCTTCACTGCTCTGTTGGAATAATGGGCAGACTATGCATAATGATTAAAAGCTTCATGTTAGACACAGTGGACCTTGGTTCAAACATGGCTCCATTTCTTAACAGCTGTGATACTGGATAGTTGCTATTTGCCTCTATGTTCCAGTGTCTGTATTTCTAAAACGAGGGGGTAATAGTTGCTACCTCATAGGATTCCTTTTCTTGTAAGAAATTCCTGGTGCTTGGCAGGGAACACTGGGGGTTCAGGGAGTGGCTCAGCTGACAACAGAACAATCAGGTATCTCTGGGACTCAGTCTTCCAAGACTTCCTCTGGGTCAGGCTCCCACATACCGTTTGCCTACCTCCCAGATATGTTTTAGGTGGGCGGTCCTCTGCCTGGTGGTGGGCCACACAAAGCACAGTGGGGCCTTTGCCTAGTGCTCCAGACCTGCTCCGGTATCTGGCCCTGCAGCACCTGTGTGGTGGAGAAAGGGAGGGAGGCTGTGCTGCTTACAGCCCCTCTGCTCTGGGCACAGTTGGTGGCACTCAGCGGCAGGGAGGACAAGTGAAATCCAGAGTGTTTTGTGCTTTTACTAGGCAGTCCGTGTGTGCCCGAAGCTCCGATGAGAGTGGCGTACAGCTGTGGAATTCCTGTCCTCAGTGTTTTGTGGACAGATCCCTTGTTCTGTCTGAATTAGATGGGGCTGCTTGGCTTCCTGACTTTTTTCCAGTCTGCTCCTCTGTGGCATTGTTTTGGAATACGTGGTTATACTCCCTGGGGCCAGGCAAGGAAATGAATCTCTGACCTCTTTTTGCCTCACTGAGATGGTGTTAGCATTTCTCAGCTGGACATGCAGTACTCAGATCTTGATCTTAGGGCTTAGAGCATTAACACATATCCCTTTGCTATAAGGATGGGGAACATTCTAATTTTTACAAAAACAACAGCTTTAACTACCTAGCTAAGTATCAACCACCTGTGTGTTCAAAAATCAGGCTTACAG